TCTCAGCCCGTGATCGAGCTCTTCAAATGACACGCTCCCACCCTAACTATCACTCTGAGATCTCGCTTCATCATATTGGCGGTCCTCTGTGGGGTTCTATCTGGCGTCATAGTGTGAGAGTCGGCACCGATGTATACTCCCCGTACTCAGCCAACTTGTTAGGTTCTTCGTCGGTGTCCTAAATTCTATCACCAAGAGGTTTCCCATCCCCATGCGTTATGTTTGGGTAACAGGAGTTGCCCTCGTCGACGCCGGAGTTGCATACGCGTACTACAGTTGTGGAAGGTTCTGATGATAGTCATCATATAGGTCTCCATTGCTGTGGCAGTTGGATAGGGGGCTCCTTGGCGACATGCTTGTTGTATCCCATCACGAGGCGGCCAATGATGTCATTAACCAGGCGGGGAATCTTGCAGTAGGTTAGTGTCGGTGCGTACCTGGCTAAATATGATGTGTTTTCAGATTGTCTTCATCGCTAAGATATGCCTGATGATTGTGTCCATGAGTTGTAGTACTTCTACTCTAAGTCGTTATCATGAATGAACGCTGTTGTCAGGTTGGGTGCCAACAGGGCTCTTTCTCCCAGTATTCACCATTGGAGCGGTATGGGGTCGTCTCTATGGGCTTTTAGTACACGAACTGTTAGCCCAAAGCTATGCCTTCGCACCGCCTGCTGTGTATTGATATCGTACTACTTCATAGTAATTGTATCTCCTTTACCTCAGGTACGCTCTAGTAGGCGCGATATGTCTTACTGCTGGAGTTACTCGGACCATCTCGGTGGCCGTTATTGCATTTGAGCTTACTGGGCACATCCACCAGATGTCTGTTATCGTCATAAGTCCGCACTTCTAGTAATAGCATTGGTACTGGTTATTTGTAGGTACAGTAGTAGCATATGCAGTAGCAGCGTTATTTACTACCTCGATCTATGATGTCCTCCTCCACTTGAAGGGGCTTCCATACGTACCACATTTGCGTCCCCCAGAACTGTAAGAAACGGATGGTGACACGGCTTGAGCATCTATGGCAGGTATCACCATCGTATCGGTGATCTACTACAACCAGT